ACTCACCCACCCAGACGAAGGCCTGAATGCAGCGGCCATGGAAGGCCATGCTCCGCACTGGGTCCGGTCCCGCTGCGGGGCCTCCAAGGCTGAGGGTACCCAGGACAGGATCACCGTGGTGGGTGCCATGGAGGCTGAGCCAGGAGAGAAGAGAGTGCCTCCCAGGCGCCCCAGGCCAGGCCTGGGGATGAGCAGAGAGCCACCCTGTGTCTTCACTTCCCACATTTGACTTCGTACCTGTTCCCTCTTCTAGGCTGTTGGCTCCCTGAGGGCGAGGCCTAAGCATCATTCACAGGTGTAACCCCCTTGCCTGACACATGACAGAGACCCCCTGAATGTGGAGTAAATAAATGGATGACCACTCCATCCCAGAACTGGACCTTGCCCCCTCCTAAGATGCTACAGAGCTGCAAATTATCCTCATAGTTTCCGTACTTATCCCGTTACCCCCTTCCTTAGAGTCCGTAATGACCCCGGGAAACGATGTCAATTCTTTTTTTTTTAAATATGTTTTATTAATTATGCCATTACAGTTGTTCTATTTCCCCCTTCATTCCCCTCCCCCCTGCATACCCCCTCTCCCACCATTCTCCCCCTTTAGTTCATGACCACGTGTCTCGAGTTCTTTAGATTCTATATTTCCCCTACTGTTCTTGCCCTCCCCCTGTCTATTTTCTACCTACCATCTATGCTACTTATTCTCTGTACCTTCTCCCCCCTTCTCCTCCTCCCACTCCCCTGTTGCTAACCCTCCATGTGATCTCCATTTCTATGGTTCACTCCTGATCTAGCTGTCCTCTTAATTTGCTTTTGTTTTAGGTGTGGTTGTTGATAACTGTGACTTTGCTGTCCTTTCACTGTTCATGTTTCTTTAACTTTTTTTTCTTAGGTAAGTCCCTTTAACATTTCATATAATAAGGGCTTGGTGATGATGAACTCCTTGAATTTGATCTTATCTGAGAAGCACTTTATCTGCCCTTCCATTCTAAAGGAAAGCTTTACTGGATAGATCAATCTTGGATGTAGGTCTTTGGATTTCATGACTTGGAATACTTCTTTCCAGCCCCTTCTTGCCTGTAAGATCTCTTTTGAGAAATCCGCTGACAGTCTGATGGGAACTCTTTTGTAAGTGACTGTCCCCTTATCTCTTGCTGCTTCTAGGATTCTCTCCTTCATTTTAATCTTGGCTAATGTAATGGTGATGTGCCTTGGTGTGTTCCTTCTTGGGTCCAACTTCTTTGGGACTCTGAGCTTCCTGGATTTCCTGGAAGTCTATTTCCTTTGACAGATTGGGGAAGTTCTCCTTTATTATTTGTTCAAATAAGTTTTCCACTGGTGGCTGTTCCTCTTCCCCTTCTGGTACCCCTATAATTCGGATGTTGGAACGTTTAAAGATGTCCTCAAGGTTCCTAAGCCTCTCCTCATTTTTTTGAATTCTTGTTTCTTCATCTTTTTCTGTTTGGTCATTTTTTTCTTCCTTCTGGTCCACTCCTTTGATTTGAGTCCCAGTTTTCTTTCCATTACTATTGGTTTCCTGTGTATTTCCCTTCGTTTTAATTAGTTTAGCCTTCATATGTTCCTCTAATTTGTGACTAAAATCAACCAGTTCTGTGAGCATCCTGATCACCGGTGTTTTGAACTGTGCATCTGAAAGTTTGGCTATTTCTTCATCACTTAGTTTTATCGGCTCTGGGGCTCTGAGTTGTTCTTGAGCCATGTTTTGATCTGTTCATGCCTGTTACGTATGAGGAGCAGAGCCTTAGATGTTCACCATGGCGGGGCCACCCAGGTCGGTGGTTTGTGATGCTGTATGTGGGGGCGGGGTCAGAGAGGGAGCAATGGCGGTTCCCTCTTCGGCTTCCCACCGCTGGGGCCTGCATGGTCTGTCTCACCACTTGCTCCTTCACCGGTTTATCTGCTTGTGAATGTGTGACCACGGTCCGTCCTCAGTGGGTCCGCCCGCTGCTCCACAGTGGGTCCGCCCACTGCTGCTGGTGCACCTGGGTCTCGCACCCAGGTCGGTCCGGTGGATCTTTCCTGCCTGCCCCCGCTCTGCTGCTGGCTCTGCCCCTCTTACCGGTTTGGCTAAAGCGTTCGTTGTCGTCAGACTTCCATGTAGTTCAATTTTCTGTGGTTTGGATGCATTTTTGTTGCTAAAACTTTGTTGTTTTTAAACTTGGTTGTGTGAGAAGGCGAAGTGCTTCCACCTACGCCTCCATCTTGGCGGAAGTCTACGATGTCAATTCTTCATCACAGCGCATGAGATGCTGGGTAACTGTCTCCGAGACACAGGAAACACGTGTCCAGCCAGCCTCCTGGGACTAGCCCCACTTGGAGGTTTTAAGCAAGGCATTCCCACCTGCCCCCTCCCCCATCTTCACCTTGAGGTCCTCAGCTGTACCCACAGCCCCTGCCCCCCTCCTCTGCTTCACTCGCACCCAGGACCCTGGTGAATGGGGACAGATGCCACTGAGGGGAACAGTCTTCCTGAGTTTTGTGGCAACACATATTTGAAAAAGCTTGAAAATGTCTGCGGCACGTCAGGCCACACTGGCCCTGACACCACTGTGAACCTGCACCCTCCCGCCCTTGCCCAGGGCCGTCCCCTCCGCTGGTGACCTGGCCATGCCAAGTGGCTCACCCTGCCCGTGGTTGGGTCAGAGGCAGAGCCCACCCTCCATGTCCCTCCACGACTGGTCACGGGTGAGAGGAGAATTCGCCTGTGGCCTCTCCCCGCACTATCCCCGTATTCTAAGAGTCTGACAGCCAGACAACATGGTACTGACCTGTTTCCAGAATCTTACCCGCAACGGAGTGGGCTCCAGCCATGTTTTCTAAAGGCAAATAAAACAAAACAAACAGCCACGCCCACCGTATCCCACACTGTCCGATGCTTCTAGTTGCTAAATGATTTCATTGTGTTTAGTGACACTAACCACTGCCAATAACACGCGTGTATGCATGTGCAATGGATGCACACTATGTACACAGCGAGCAGCGCGCAGCCGCAGAATTACACGCCGACTGAAAAGCTCTGGACCCCTGCTGGACCCTGGGGAAGGGCGGCGGACAGCCTCGCCCACCAGGTAACACTCGGCGTTCTCATTAGTTCAGCTCTCCTTTCTTAAAAACACAACATCCTGGTCTTTTCCTATGACAGCCATTACCACCGAATTCGGCAGAACGTAATCATCTCTTTGTATGCGGTTCTCCCATAATTCAATCGTGGGTTTTTTTTTCCCCTTGATGAAAAATTTTCTGTACTAATTAGGGGCACGTCCCTTATTTATTGTATCTCCCTCGCTCACCTCACCCCCCCCCTTTGCCATTCTTTCTGTGGTGCTGGCCTCCGGTTCTTTTATTCTCTTTGTCTTCCTGTGTGTCTATGTGTTTTTTAACTGAATAGACACAAAAATACAGAGAGTGAACTGTAGCTTCCTAAACAAATATTGGTGTGCACACTTAATATATTCAAATTATTATACGAGGTGCGCACCCAGATGCCATATTCGGTTTATAACTGGCTTGTTTTGGAAAGAGGATAAAGACCACATTGAAAAGAGGAGGCAGGCTCACAAGTTCCACAGTGACCTTCCCCACAATATCTTCTACACCTTATTTTTAATTTACTGCTATTTTCAATAACTTCTGATTGCATTTTATGTAACTACAAATTCTCTATTGTGTATTCAGTTTTATTTTTCCCTCTTTTTTTTTTATTAGTAAAGACATTAACAATAAAACAGGCTCCTTTGCTCCAGCTGGTAATTTCTCCGCACTAGTAATATATTATTCCTCTTTTCCTGACATCATAATCATCTATGCAGAAGTACCATGTATCTTTGTGTAGAAGCTACTGTTTCCATTAAATTTAATTACCTCCCCCTGTGGTTTTAAATAGAAGTGGCTTCAAAATGAGGGCAGCTTCTATTAAATTTAATTACTTTCCCCTGCTGCTTGCATGGGAAAGGAGGTTGCTAAATGAAATCAGCTTCTAAACTAGACTATATGGTAACTGTGTCCTGGCAGCAGCAAACTGCACCCACACTCCCCTTCTGTGACAGTGCCTAGGTGTGTCCTTTCTCTCCTTTTAAATTTGGCGTGGCCTTGACTTAAGACCCTGCACAGAAAATGAGCCCTGACAGAAGAGGTGCATTTCGAAGCCAGTCTCAGTTTCGTAGATTAAATATGAAGCTAAATATGCCCCTGTCTGTATGACAATGTTGGGAATCGTCCCAACATTGGAGGCTGGACTCAGCTCTAAGTTAATACCACTAACTGTTGCTGGGTGACGAGTTTCATAATTCACACCTTTTTCATGCCTAGTAAACAGCCTTCCTCGGCCCTCACCAGATGGATTTCAATGCTGCTTCCTAAAAGTTAATAAAAAGGCCTCGAGTTGGGGAAGAAATGCAAAGAAATATTCACAAATAGCAATGTTAAAATGGAAAAAAAAAAACCCATCAGGCCCATTAGAGACTACTACAGCCTTGAAAAAAGTGAATCTATATGCTCTGTAACCGTGTGAAAACACAAATCCGTTTTTAAAATACCATGATATAATCCTATAAAGCCCAATACAATATGAAATTTTAAGCACCTCTTTTTTTCATTAAATATTAATTAGGAGGAAATACTATTCAGTTTAAATGGCCATTGTACTGTTTGTTTGTTTATTTTACTTTTTTTTTTACAGACGGAATTTAGATGAACAATATTTCCATTCAATCACGCAGTTTAGTATACACATAAAACAAGACACCCCTTAAGCATTTTAAGTAACAAATTAAACATTTACATTTTTTACTGTGCACTGAGGCTTAACATTTATGCAGCTTCAAAACCAAAGTACAGCCTCAAGGGAAGTCTCTCCACTGACAAATTAATACCTTAGAGAACAGAGCTGAATGGTGGCAATGAACTCATTTGTTCCCCCAATAATGAAGAATGACTTTTTCTTTACCACATCTGTGACGGTTGCCATGGTGACCCAGACTTACCTCATTGCCTCTCGCAGAGCTCCCCGCTCACCAAGAGTCGTGTGCTTGATGTCATCAAAATTATTCTCCAGCTTCTCACAGCCCTGCCACACATCAAAAAATGCATCAGTCCTCCGGCACCCAGGGATAAAAATCATATCTGTGCAATTATGGGAAAGTGTAATTGATTATATTGATGACGGACTCGGGAAAGATACGCACGCTGCTTTAATTGGGTAGGATTCATTAAAACTGACAGTGTGGATTCAACAGTGATAAAATAAAAGCATCGATGATACAGCTGTCGCAGAACTCTTTCTCCCCGCTTCCCAAATTTGGGAAAATAGGAGAAATGAATAAAAATCAGTTCTCTGATTTAATCTTGAGCATATCAAAAGCTGATTTAAATTTTAAAGAGAAACTCATTAAAGTTTGGAAATTATGATTAACCATATATGATAAATATTTAGTTCTAAATAAATTAGTATTTACTAAGATGAAAAGGTAGAACTCCAGTATAATAATTGAAAAAAACCAATATTTTGGTACCCCAAAATTATAAGATCATTAAATGACAATTATATATATAATGTTTATTATACACACGCACACTTCTTATAATTAAGTGACATCATAACAAGTTGTTAGCATTACTGGGCTACATTTTCTAAAATGTTTAAATTTTACTATAATTTTAACTATTATTTTATTTATAACTAAATCTTACGTGACTGTAGTAACTTTAAAAAACATAATATACAGGATTAAATTTTAGACTAAAAAATGTATCCATATAAATTCCTGGCACTTTAGATTTCATGAAGAATTTAGTAGTACCTAGGTAATAAAATAACTCAATTTAGCATTTTAGTCAACAGAAAAACTAAATAATAAAATTTTAAATATTAATGTTTTGTGTTCTCAAATTGTAAACAGTATGCTGAATTTTAGATTACACGTTTTATATGAACAATTTCCAATGTTTAAGAATTTATTTATTTAAAAATCTCTCAGTATATACGTACTACTATTCTTACCCTGATTTTTAAAAGTGAGCCAAATTAAGGCAAAGATCCTTTTCAACACATATTTTTGAAATAAAAATCTTGCCAATTACCACAATGTATCTAAAATAATTTGAAGTCTTAGGAACAGTCCTCTTTTAGGTAAATTGGAACTAGCATCTCATGTCCTTTGGTTTACCCTTTTCACTTTAGTTAAAAATGTCTTTTCACAAAGAGAACTTTCTATTGTCAATGAGGCTCAATTTATTATTGCTTAAATTTATAGTGGGTGCTTTTCATGTCCTGGGTACAAAAGCTTTGACTTCCTCAGGCTTATGGATATATTTTCCTCTTACAGAGCTTTATTATTTTACATTTCATATTTAGATGTGCAACCCATCTGGGATTGATATATTTGTATACGGTGTGAGTTCAGAAATCACGCCACCTCGAGGTAATCAATTAAGTCATTACTATTTATTGAACAGACCATTATGCCCTCCACTGTAGTTCAAAATCATCTCTTTCCATCAAGTAAGTCACGGCCCAGGCAGGGTCTGTTTCCATGTCCATAATAGTCAACCGCTCCTTTTCAGATCCTTGCACCTTTAAATATCCCACTATTTCAATTCTTTGTATCCATAATAAATTAAAAACTAACAATAATTATGAAAAAAAGATAATCCAACGGGACGTGAGCCAAAGACTATATAAATACTATGTAAAAGAGAATATCCAAATACCCGATTTCAGAAACAAACAAATGTGCTCAATATCACTAGTCACGAGGAAGATGCAAATTTAGACAATGAGATGCCACCGCACAGTTTTGGAAATGACTAAAATGAGAAGCCAGATCAGACAAAGTGTGTGGGTGGTGTTTGGGTTTTGTTTTTTTCTTTTCAGTACAAAAAGCAACCACAGCACTGCTCTTGGAAGTGTAAAGTGTTATGACCGCTTTGTAAAGCAATTTGGCAGCACTTTCAAAAGAAAGTGAACCTTCCCCCCCGGGAATACACTCTGAGCAAATACGTAACATGTTCACCTAAAAGTCTTGTACAAGAATGGTAACAGTACCACTGTTCAAAGCAGCCCCAAACTGGAAACAAGTCAACTGCACATCAGGATGAAATGTGGAAGGAATGACGAATGAGCATAGTGGAAAACTACATGGCAGTGAGGAAAAACAGACCGTAGCTGGGCGGAGTTACATCAACGCAGCTCAGAGCCGCAACACCCAGCACGGAAAAGAGCACAGGGCAGAATCATCCCATTGACACAAAGTTCAAAAACAGGCAAAGCCATGGCGGGTAATCCAAAAGTGAAAAAAAGGAAGCAATGCCATTTATGAGCATGAGGCGAATACAATACTTCCAAACACATTTAACAAAAGAAGCCTAAGGTTTGCGCACTGAAGAAAATAAAACATCCTAAAAAAATGGTTAAAAGACCAAAACAGATGGAAAGACATCCCATGTTCATGAATTAGAAGATGTGATGTTGTTAAAGTGTTACTCCTGCCTAAATTGATCCAAAGATTCAGAGCAATTGCTACAAAAGTACCAGCTGACTTTTTATCTCTGCAAGTCTTGACAAGAGGATCTTAAAATTCATGTGAAATTGCAAGGGGTCCAGAATAGTCATAATAGTCTTAAAAAGAGAAGAGCAAATTTGAAGAACCCCTATTCCCTGATTTCAACATTTCTACAAAGCAAAAGTCATCACGACAGTGTGAAGCTGGTGTAAGAATGGGCATACAGTGCAATGTATAAATATCTATACACACATTCATAACAGCATTATTCATGGAAGACAAGTAGGAAAACCAAAAAATGTCAATCAAATAATACATGGATAAACAGATGTGATAGACTGATACAATGGAATATTATTCAGCCAGAAAAAGGGAAGTCGTGATCTGTGCTCCAATGTGGATAAGACTTGGAAACATTTTGCCAAGTGAAAAAGGCAGGTATGGAAGGCCACAGTGTATGATTCTATGCCTACGAAATACACAGAATAGGCAAATCCATAGGGACAGAAAGGAAGTGATTAGTTGCCGGGGCTGAAGAGATGGTATCAGGGTTCCTTTTTAAAGAGGTTAAAGGACTCTGGAATTAGCGGTCATCGATGCATAACTTGGTGAATATACTGAAAACAAGTAAATCGAATACTTTTAAAAGAGTGAACTTTATGGCACGGGAATATCTCAATAAAATTGTTATTTTTAAAATAGGCAAAACAAATTGAGATGTTGGGAGGTGGTGGATCACAATAACAGGAGGAACCAGGGCAGGGGTGTCAAACTCATTTTCATGGGGGGAGTGGGGCGGAGCCCACATCAGCCTCATGGTTGCCTTCAAAAGGCTGAATGTAATTTCGACTCCTTAACAGTTAAGGAGCAGTTACATTTACACAGTCCTAAAATGATTTTGGCCCTTTGAAGGCAACCTTGAGGGCTGATGTGGCCCCCAGTGAACTTGAGTTTGACACCCCTGAACTAGGGAGTCTCTAGGACTCTGTTGAAGTCATTTAGTGAAAACTGATGGAACCAAATTCTTAAGATATGTTTACTTTCCCAGGTGCTTACACTACATTAAACAGTTTTTAGGGGAGAGTTTGAACTCTGGTCAAGAAATAATGCAATCACACCTCACTGGAGTTGTAAGTAGAGCACGCATATAAGAATCTCAAAGAATCAAAGACTTCATAAACATTAGCTACCAGCTCAGAGTAATGAAATAGCATTTTACTGTTTATTAAAATTCTGCACAATTAATTCAAACTTATCCTGATCAAGTCTTGATACTTCATTCACTCAATGATGGACTTTCTCTCTCTACAGTGACTAGTCTTAAAGGGTGACGTTTAGACAATTATAAATGCAAAGACGAGCAACTGAATTCTTTGGAATGAATGGCCTTTGGAGAATAATTGTCCAGTACTTAGAATATACACCAAGTTCAGTTGGAGTTGGACCTTTAGAATAGAGAGTAGAGTTTTCCTTTCTCTTTTGCTTCTAATAGTGGTAGTGAGATGAAAGAAAGAAAGAAAGAAAGAAAGAAAGAAAGAAAGAAAGAAAGAAAGAAAGAAAGAAAGAGAGAGAGAGAGAGAGAGAGAGAGAGAGGGAGGGAGGGAGGGAGGGAGGGAGGGAGGGAGGAGAAAGGGAGGGCGCAGGAGGGAGGAGACGAATATAAAATTTTTACTTTACAAATTATAGTGCCCTTTGAATATTTCTTGGAAATAATAATTTTAAAAAAGAATTTCATGTTCATAGATGTTCACTGTAGTATTTTTGTGGCAGTGAAATAATAAATTTAAAAAAAAACTTTACACTTCACCAATCAGTGAATGGTTAAATAGGTCTCTAAATCTGAGGATGTTGCTGTTTAGGATGGATATTTAACAAGCCAATGTTTATATAATAGCATGTAATTTTTTAAAGGACACTGTACAATTAAATACTATGTATATGATTACAGTTATAAAAAATAAGCAGAGTCAAAAAAGATGAGAAATGAACGTTTAACTCAGATTATCACAGAATGTTGAATAAACAAGAGTGTTTCTTTTTCACTTATACTTTTCAATAGTTTTCAGTTTTAGTGACAGGTTTATGTTTCTTTTTTGACCTCAAGATAATTCATAAGCAATTCAAATTTTCTACATTTTTGGAACTACAGGGTGGGGTAAAAGCAGATTTGCAATTGTGACCATGTGAAACAGTTTATTCTTATTATTATTTATGAATTATTGCATTAGTTTCCACATGAACTGTAAACTACTTTTGATATGCCTTGTATTGTATTTTCTGCCAAATATGCTGTTTTTATAAAATATAACAAAGTAAATAAGTGCTAATAAGAGAAATTGATATCAATCAGAATTTGATTTTTTAAATATTTAATTTTTCTATTACAGATATACTTCACTGATTAAGACTTTTACCTATATTTTCCTGGCTGGTGTGGCTCAGTGGATTGGGTGCTGGCCGGCGAACTGAATAGTCGCCAGTTAGATTCCCAGTGAGGGCACATGCATGGGCTGCCAGCCAGGTCCCCAGTAGGGGGCGCACGAGAGGCAACCAAACATTGATGTTT